CCGGTCCTAGCTCTAGGCAGGCAGAGATAGGAGGATCTCAGGAGCTTGTTGCCAGTTAGCCTTGCCTTAATCAGTGAGTTCCAGGTCCCAAGGAGGTAACTGACAGACAGCTACTGAGAAATGATATATGAACACATGCACACACATATACAAGACACAAAAAAATGTTTAAGGCAAACAGAAGCCAGATACAGTAGTGTAAACCTGTAACACATACACATGCAGTAAATAAAATGCCTAAATTATGTATGTGAATAAATACACACAATGAACAGTATTTACGGTCCACGCACAGGCACTGGGCTCAGTCTCTAGGACCACAGGGTGGGAAGTGGGAGAGCCACTGTGGTGCACACCTGTAATCCCAGTCCTTGTGAGACTGAGGCAAGAAGACTGTAGAGACTCTGTCTCAAAAATGAAAAATTTGGGGGCTGGGGATACAGCTCAGTGGCAGAGCACTTGTCTTAAGCACACAAAGCCCTGAGTTCTATCCCAGCACAAACCAAAACAGAATATGAATCTAAAGATTTTGTTTGTTTGTTTCTCTTTTTTTTTGCGACAGGGTTTCTCTGTGTAGCCCTGGCTGTCCTGGAACTCACTCTGTAGCCCTGGCTGGTACATACACTGTGCAATAACATTTATATAAAACAGGACAGTGGTTCCATTTTGATGGAGGGGTAATTACTGAAAGAAGGCATAGGTGGTGCAGGAAGTTTCAGTGCTGGGAATATTGTTTCTCCACCAGGTGCTTCAAGTAGGGGCCGTGTTCTGCCTGAAACATGCAATAGATGCAGAGCATTTTGGCAGCAGAGGTTAAAGGGCAGCTCCAGAATGCAGCCTGCACTTGAATCTCCTTCCGTCACTTACTAGCTGTGATTCTGGGCAAGTTCCTTAACCCTTCTGCTGCAATTCTTCATCTACAACGCAAGCTTCCGCCTCCAGTTATAACCTCAGTTACCACAAGACGGTAGATGCTTGTTAGTAGAGACGGCCATCACTAAATGTTTGCTGAGTTTTTGGCGGTGGGGTGGGGTGACCTGGTGATCTCCAACATCTTTCTAGTGCTTTGACACTCTGGAGCAACAGGAGGCCCGGTCATGAACTGTAACAGCTCAACTCAGTCAGGCTCTCTTGCTCTCCAAAAGGAATTCTGAACCTTCCCACGCCTCTGAGGTCCATCACCTATGTTTATAAAAAAAATTCAGGTTGACATTTTCTACGGTCACTTAAGAGTAAATAACTGGCTGGGCGGTGGTGGCGCACGCCTTTAATCCCAGCACTCAGGAGGCAGAGGCAGGCGGATCTCTGTGAGTTCGAGGCCAGCCTGGGCTACAGAGTGAGT